AGAGGACTTTTTCGTGAAGATTACCGGATCACAGTAAAATAATAAGTGATGCACATCTATTTTAGAAATTGTAAACTAACAAGCTATTTTTCACTTACCATTTGGCTTCCGAGGGAAAGTTACTGCCGACGCTAAAATCGCCAAGAACACAAGTTCTTTCAAAAGAAAAGCCATTATTCTGACCTGTTCGTGTTTCAGCTTAACAGAATAAGACAAGGCAATAAAGAATGGTAGTTTTGACTTGCAATGTATCTCCTTAAATAATCAAATCAACGCACCACAGGGGTTGGGAACTAGTCTATAACAATACACAAGTTTTACGATGCAAAGTGTAATTACAAAATCATTTGCTTTCGAAAATTACTTTCCATTCTCTGCAAATAGCCGTTTGTAATGATTTATTTTTTATCCTTAAAGGTCGGACCCCATTGGCGAAGAAGATGAATCAGATAATGATAAGCAGTATAGATTGACAGCATGTTATTTCAATAAACAAAATACCCTCGGAAATTCGATAATGACGGTAAATGTCATTCGCTCTTTCATATCAACGCAGGCCTTGTAAAACAAAGATAGCTAATTACATTGTCGTAACCACTTAATTCACAACTTAAAAAACCGAAGTTCTCTTAAGAGAAAATTATTTCGAGATGTTTTGAGATAAGTATGTGTTTCGTGCAGTTTATGTCATCGTCAAAGCTTAAGTCACCACGCTATAAAGATTAATAGCACACTACAACAGCATCAGGTTTCGAAACTTCATCAATCGGCCAGTGGTATTACTGTCGTTACGTTGTAACGAAACAAGATTACATTATCAGTGCTAATTATAATGTCAGTTTGGGAACCGATAACGCTCGCTTAATTATCTCGAATCGGCTTCGGCCTATTATGACTATCCTAGCTTTTCAATTAAACATCAGTTAGAGAAAATTTTAATGCCCCATAATGACATTTCATTAAATGGGCATTAACCCAGGGTTGCGCTTTTTTGGAGATGTTTGCTTAATGGCATATTAAATCACAGCTATATGATATCCCACCATGTCGTGTCATTTCTTATCATTTAAATATGAAATTGAATAGAGCATGCAGATAATAGACCACAGACTTGATTTTTATCAAAATAGCAATAAAATCCGATAATTATTTTTACAATCTGTTTTTGTACTGCATGCTTCATAAAACACCGCTGTAAAATTTGCAACTTTAGCTGGTACCGGTTGTAGCTTCCGTAAGCTGGTCTTTAAWATCAACGTACCAAAGGGGGTACAATAAAACGTACAATTCCAAAGAACCGTGCAAGGCACGTTGAAGAACTGTTTGGTAATACGGTCCAAACTGCAAAAACAAAAACTCGCTGCCTTCAAAAACGTCCCACGTGCGATACCCTGGGGGAATGTCACGTGACACTACAAACCCGGATGTGACAAACCGGATGTGACAAACGGTAGCCACACCGGTTGTGTATATATCATATTATCCGACAAATTGAACAAATGAAAATTTTGTTGCTCAATATGTTTTTCGTCCTCAAGTTGGCAATATAATGTTAATATGTATTTTTTGTTATTGCACGATCGAGGTGTGGTGCAAGGAGATTATCAGATTGAAATACACCACATAGCCTTTTTTACTGGTGATTCAGCAGCCCTTTCTCGGTCCCGCAGACTGAATGAGGTGGTTATTAAAATTGTCGTTATGAGATTCTTGATTGAGTACTAGCAAGTCACCTATTTTGAGACAGATGGTTTTTAAGGCCTTGAATGTTTAATGTTCTGATTATTAGAGATGTATTAGTCAGCTGTGGGGCGGTGAAACAGCTTGAAACCTCAGGAAATGCTACTTAAAAGAGCTTTGGTAGGAACGATAATTACTATTAACGAGCAATGTCCACGATTGTAATCGTGAACTATTGTTCTGTTGCACTTTTGACTGACAGGCTATCGACGACTCCACCCACTTGGTTACTGACACTGTAATAATTCTTCATCCAGAGCTCCATAACCAATGCCCCTCTCCCCAGTGAGAAGGTGGGCAAGACCAAGGAGGTGAGCCCATGAAAACAAATTAAAAAAGCCCGTTACTGGCCAAAATAATAATAATAATAATAAAAATATACACAAGGAAAAAAACAAAACAAAACACAACGAAACGAAACTCATGGGCAATACACTGCGCTAGACTGGAAACGAGCTAACAGATCGGTATTTTAAAAATTCAATATGGCGGACGAAGAGAGAAGACATGATCACAAAAAGCAAACAACTAAATCTAAGGGAAAGACAAAATCCCGCTGGAGAAAACCTGGAAATATACTAAATATGGGAAACAGAGAGAGAGGTGAGAGCTTTCTTTTCAGGTCGGTGCGCTAGAAGCTGGGAATTTTCGCCTTGATAAATTTTTCTTTACTTGGAGCATGTGCTTGCTTTATTATGTTCTGTAGGCCACGCATTTGCGGAAAAACGGAAGAAGAAAGCTCTTAGAGAGTACAAAAAGTTACTGAAGAAAACAAGGGAAGAGCACAGGCAGCTTCAATCATCGGGCAACAAAGATAGACCACTTCTGACTCGTGCATCAAGAGTCTCAGATGCTGCTACGATTTCTGAACAGGTTTGCATCTAAGGTCCTCAACAGGCTACAAACAAACTGAATTTATACTGTTTATATCACGTGCTATGTTTACATACGTACAATTACGTAGAGCTTGGGTTAACGAAGACGGGTGAACTCTTCCTTGTTAATATAAACAAATCAGTGTGCAAAGAATGTCCTGTCCGATCACAGGCGACGCAAGCTCTCAATGTTATCCTTTTTCACTTTTATGCGAACGTTCAGCCTAACGTGACATATGGCATATACTATTACATAACGACTGAAAACAGCCGCATTTGAAAACAGCCGCGTCACAAAAGTTAGGACACTTTCGCGGTGTTGGGTAACTATAACTAGCCCGACC